CATCCAAGGACCTTCGGAGTTGCGAGGCCACCACTTTCTCAACAACCTTCCCTACAAAGGGGAGGTTGGAGACTGGATGATAGTTGCTCAAAATCGCTGGGTCCAAAGACGATTTCTTCAGGAGGGGTCTCACCACCACATCCTTTAGGAAGGGTGGGAAGATTCCCTCCTGGAGAGAGGCGTTCACAATCGTCTGGATCCAGCTGCGTGTCACCTCCCTGCTGGTCGAGACCAGCCAGGAGGGACACGGGTCCAGTATACATTGATACATTGATTATGTGCCATCAAGTCATTTTTCACCTGATGGATTTTCTCCATGAACTACCAGTAATTTCACCAGGGCTGCAAAAATTGGATGTTCACTAGATGGCACTAAAGATTTAGAGTGCTCTGTATACTTTTGTCACCATCTTATGGTAATTTTGATTTTGCACCCTAGCTACTGCAGCCCTAATTGCACTATTGTACGATATTGTGATAGCATTGCATGAGGTGTTGTCATTGTCTTCTCTCTTTAAAAAACACTGATTGGCAGCTGCGCTGCTAGTATGACTGAATTATCTTTATTTTATGAGTGTTTGTCAAACCCGGAACATTTTTGTCAAAGGGAAAATAGAAACCAAATAAATCCCTATAATTAATTTTTACGCAAAGTACAATTCTAGATGTTAAATGTTTACATTTAATTTTAATCCACAGTTGTCCACTGTGGATGGAGAACTGAAAATCCCATACTCCTATCCACCAACTTTTAGCTATTGTTCTATTCCCAGAGTGAACTTATTTATTTTATTTGTGTGTGTGTGTGTGTGTGTGTGTGTATTTGGTGTTTTAGTGTTTAACTCCAGGTGAATGTCTAGACAAATCTCTGCAATTTTCTTGACAAGATTTCCAATTAAGAAAGGGAATAGAAGCATGGATAATGACCCATAGGGTGATCAGGAGAATAGAAATATTTGAAGTGGATCAAATGCATTCAAAATGAGATGTTTCTCTAAAGGATAGGCAAAGATGGGGAAATTGTGAATAATAATTAAATTATTAATTGTGAATTAATAATTAAAAAAGGAAATTGAAATTGTTAGTGAGGAATATCAACCATTTCAATTAATTATACAAGGAAAGATTCTTGAGACATGCATTACTGGATGACAGTGTACGGTATATTATACTTTGGCTAAAAAATTTACATGCATGGTTTGGCCAAAATGTAATTTTGTTCAGGACATGAATATCAAAAGAAAAACTGCATGGGAAGTTGCCAACCCCTACTAGGAAAAGAAGAAGAGTTAACATTAATTGGATTATTTAACAGGAAATTTTTAATCTTTTGCATCCTCCCAGATCCTACTTATAAAAGAATTATTTATTTATTTGATTGAATGGTAAGCTGTCCATTGTAAATGCATGGCTCTGGGTGTAGGCAAATAATTATCCATGCATGAATTTCAGTCTTTTTGAATTAAAAGTTTTTTTAAAAAAATGAAATGTTTTCACTGAAGCATGTGAAGGATATAGTAGCTATTCCGCACATCTACTGTGGGGTTTAGAGGAGGAAGAGGCGGAAAAGAAAAAATATTATTCCAAATTTTATGCACCAAGCAAGAAACTATTTTCCTAGCCAAAAATCTGTCTTTCTCATTTTTATGCATCTGCTTTGGAAACTAAAGTGATGCATTTTTGTAAAGAAATAGAACTAAATACAATCTTCAACAGAGCTTGAAATTAAGTTTGTGCAAAGTACTGTAAATATCTGAGGAAAGTGACAGCTTCTGTCCCCTGAATATAGCCTTCAAATATGTTTTTCCTTTAAATCAAAGTGGAGTTAGGTGAAAGAAGCAATAATACCTTACCTTACCTTACCTATTTAATCAAGTATACATCAGCTCTGTACACTTGGTTGCCAATGTTAATTGCAAATGGAGACAGAAATGCTGGACTGAAATATATTCTGCAACTTCCCAAACTGTTTCTACTTACTCTGCAAAAAAAGAATTCTGTTTTTCTACTTTATTTTCAGGGGACTGACTGGCGAATTTTAAATTTTTGTTCTAGTGGTAAGTTCTTTGAACTTACTTTATACTTGCAAGTAGTAAAGTATGCACCTACTAGCTTTGCTTTCATTACACATCTTTCTGAGGCTTTGCTAGCTGCCCAAACCTCTCAGGCTAAGAAAGACCAGTGGAGGAGTTCACACACCATATCTTTCACTGGGATTTAATTAAGAAGCCCGGGAGACCAAAGGAAACATTATGATACAAACTTTAAACATATCATCATTAGAGGCATTGCAGCTAAGTAGAAGATCCTCATCTTCCAATTTATGAGAATGTGCCTGAAGTTCTGTGGAAAGAGGTTCTGAAAGAGAATTCTCTTTGATCGAATTGAATGAAGGCTGATAGATGGTTTCCATCATGGATTTAGGTCATCAGGTCCAAACTCCTGGCGGGAATACGAGTATCCCTGACAGATGCCTGACTAACCTTATGTCGAACATTTCCAATGACAGGGAGATCATCAATGATTAATGGTTCTTCTGTAGTCATTGATAGGAAAGTTTTTCAAATTATATCTCTCTTTCTATAATTTAAATTATTATTCTATATTCTGCTCCCTGGGAGAATGTAGAGAAAGTCTTGTATTCTTCTGTGCCACATACATTCAAGTATTTGACATAGCTGACATTTGACATATGATATTCCTCTTCAGTTTTTTCTTCTAGCTATATATTTCTTATTTCTTCCATCAATCTTCATATAATTGAGTTTTTCTACTTCTAATCTTCTGATCATTGTCCTCCTTGCAATCTGTTCCAGTATGTCTCAACCCTTCCTAAAATTGTGATGCCAAGAACTGGACAAAATAATTTATAATAAGAACACTCTTGCCAGTTAATTGGGTGCTTTACAGATATGTAAGCAATTAAAAAAAAACAATTACTCAAAACCTATTCATATTCAATGAATAGTTTGAGACAAAAAAACAGAGTGCACACACAATACCCAATAAGGGATCGGAAGGGGGAAGAAAACAGATTTTTAAAGCATTTATTAATGCTGGTCCCTGATCCAGCATCTGATACAGCTAATATTTCGCTATTATGCTTCAGCCTGGGGGCTTAGCAATTCTGCAACATATTGAGACCTGGATAACATCTGCGCATGCAGAACAGGCATATGGTGATATTCTCCATCTTCTGCAGTCAGCATTACCTTCTGGTAAAAGGAGCCCTTCCTAAGCAAGCTTTATAGCTGCCTGTCACTGACCCCTGTTTATCTATTGTGGCTAGCTAAAGGAGCGAGAAACAGAGAAGGAGTAGTACTAACAACCTTAGGTTTTAACGTATAATTCATTATTTAGCCTAAATAAATGTGATTAAATATTATTGTTTTGTATCTTATGTACATGCATATTGATACATGTTGTATTGACAGTGGAATAATTATAAAGGTAACTGATCAATGAGTAAATAAATATACTGACAATGCAACATAAATGTGTAAAGTATGGGAAATAAGCAGAATATGCAATTCAGCTTCACAAGAATGTTAG